TGGATATGGACAGAGAACAAGCAAGTGATGACTGCTGCTGTGGAGAGAGGTTGGAATACTTTCATCTTCCCTTCCAATCGTCAAGATCTTGCCCTTGACTGGTCTTGTAAGTGTAATTTTTTTTATTTGTTTTCCAGTTGTTGGTAAATATGTATAGAGTTTATGACTTATATACAATGACAGTGCAAAATATTTTTACACCATCCAGCCAATGTAACCGGTTATAACAAGTTATTCTTCTATTATCCAGGTTACTGTTTCAGGCTTAGCTAAGACTTACCAATTGTTGTAAGTGAAATTAATATAGATTAAAGAATCTATACACTGACTGTGCACAGAACTAGAGTTTAACTTATATACACCGAAAGTATAAAAAGAATTTTATACTATCATGTTACACAAAAGATATTTACAGGTAACTCTTCTAATAGGATTTGCAATCTTGAAAATAAGGCAGGTTACCTGCTACAATAGGTAAAAGTAACATAATAATGATTAATGTAAAGTTCTCTACAATGTCATGTATAAGTTAAATGAGTCATAACCGTCATAAAAATGAGGCACAACTTGTTCTGATTTGAGCTAAGGTGGATCCAGAATTTAAGCAATGAATATATGTACACTGACTAAAGCAAATTTGAAAAAATATGTATATGTAATTTAGAGGTGGATCCAGGACTAAGCTTGATGAGCTCAATCTTAAGGGTTTTAGCACTGAACTCATTGCATCTTTAAAATTATGGATTCAGAATTTTATATTTGTGAAAGTTTTAGTACTTTTTCACATATATACCTATACTACGTATCAAGCGTACTGGGATCGGTTGAAACTGTAGTCAGAACGCTACATCCGCCTCTTTATCTATTAGTTTGGTGACTTATATTTAGTGGGGTATTAGGTGTTTTTTATTAGAGTAGTGGCTGCAAGAGAGCAGATTGTGCTACCCTTGCATAGTCACAATCTTTTTTATTATCACAACTGGTTGTTTGTTGTAGTCAATAAGGTTCAAACTTTCTCAAATTGAAGATTTTTTTTTCCGCTAAAAGTTTAAACCTTTTTCTCTCTTTTTTTAATTCTATGATAAGTGAAGTTTAAACCTTTTATTTTCCTTGTAAAAAAAATAATTAAATTTTCCGGCAAATACTTCGAATTGGGAGGAATGTACCCCAAGTTTCCAGCAATAAACAAGTAACCACTGTCTTTAAATCCCAGACCTGCCAAGTATGTGTTAGTGAGAATTTAGGATGTTTGATAGTAAGTGGCAAAATTCAGAATTTCCAGACACGATAATGAGAAACAAGAGGGGCTTTTCCTGATTCTATATCCTGTACATGTTTTTTTCCAGATTACCTATGAATGTTGAGCATGTATGTGCATTTTGGAATTAGAACTGTGAGGTTTTATATAATGTTTGATTATTTTGCTGCAATTCTGGTTCTATCACGTGCAGCAATTGCAATGATATCTCCTCTCTTTATTGAAGAGGGGCGTCTCTTTGATCTCGAGCATCAGAGAGTTGCTGCATTTGCTGAGGTTTCTTCTCCTCAGCAGTTAGAACAGCTACAGATATTGGAGGAACAGGCAGATAATGTTGTTGTTGATCTATTAGATTGGCAGGTACTTATTGCTTTTCTCTTCACAAAGTTATTTGCATTTGTTCCATAGGTGGGTTGGACGAATTGGGTTGTATGTATTAGCGTATTGAATTTGTATGGTTCATACTGGTTCTGCCTCTAGTTGTTTTATTTGGATGACCCTTGCATTGCTCCAAGTACATTAACTTCTCCATCTTATATGAGTCCACTTCAACTGCTGGTTTGTGTTTGTTTATTCCATAGGTGATACCTGCAGAAAACATTGTTGCGGCTTTTCAAGGCACTCAGAAAACTGTACTTGCAGTCTCAAAGACACAGTCAGAAGCTCAAGTCTTTCTTGAGGTAGTAAAATTGGTTGAACTTTAAGTCATAAGAAAGTAACTTCTCGCACAAAGTAGAGGACTTTAAGGCGCTTAAAGTGGAATTTGCTATTCAAAAACACCAAGTTTCACTCATCCTTTCTTCTTTGCCAGGCCTTGGAACACGGTTTGGGTGGTGTAGTGATGAAAGTTGAGGATGTCGGGGCAATCCTTGACCTGAAGGTAGTGCCTTTCAGAAAGGCAGTCTTCCTTGGCGAAGATTTGATTTTGATGTCAGTTATCATTGTTAGGGTTATTTTGACAGAAGACATGAAGTGGACAGTCTGTTGAACTTGACCAAAGCCAAAATAACTCGTGTTCAAGTGACTGGAATGGGTGACCGTGTCTGTGTGGATATTTGTAGCCTCATGAGACCTGGTGAAGGACT